AAATGAGATAAATTTCATGTTAATATGTGCTCTGTAGCTCGAGTTGTGTTCTTAGGAAAATAGACATGCATGAGATAGAGTTTTGTGTTTTGGCAGAATCTGATATTGAATGTTAACTGATTTTACACTATCTAAATGACCTTTTCTGCTTCGGTGTTCTAAATAAAAGTTGTAGAGGCATGCTTTAGGCTTAATTTGAGACTTGAAACATGTCATTTGAAAGTCTGTAGCTCAATCTAGAGGGTAAACACTGAGGTGCTGTCCATAACACATGTTAATTTTTGACAGATTTTCTGAACCACATGTTTTGTGTTTAAACTCATTGAAAATGTGTTTATTTGCCAAAGTGACCTTCAGCAAAGTTGTATACATTTGAGTTATCTATCATTTGGTATTAAAATTTCATTAAAATCATGCCTGTAGCTCCAGTTAAAGAGCAATTACTGAAGTCTGGCTAGGTGCATTACCCCAGTTTTGGTCTGTAAATAAATTTTCAATGTTTGTTGATTTATCACATGCTAAATGGCCTTATTTGATTTCAGTGTCTGCATATGAATTGTAGTTTTGTCTCTTAGGATTCAAATGTCACAAGTTTCATTCATATAGCATTTTTGTCCAAAGAGATGCATTAAAAATACGGACTTTGTGCAATTTCGTTTTCTGGAAAATTTTGCCGCAAATTTAATGTATGAGCTTGAGTTGTTTCCAACCCTTTAACCTACCGTTCATGCCTTTTCCGCCCGAGTGCCTTTCCACTTCCTTTGACTACTACCTTTCGCTTGGTAGTCAAGTTTGAATTGTATTTCGAGACCATCTTATATATTTGATTTTCGTACCGTGTTAATTTCGCTTGATTTGCCTTTTTCCTCGCGTAGAAATTTTGGATTGTGTTGAGCATCGAAATTTCACCTTCTATTGATCCTTATCTGATATCGAACCGATAGAAGCCCGGGGGCATTCGGTATTTTACCCCGCAGTAGTCTATGCGTAGGTGTGCACATGAGTCTTGATCTTATGACGATATTATGATGACAGGAGA